TTTTTTTTTTCGAGCACTTAATCATGCACACAATTGAATGTCAATAAAAACACCTGAAATGAAAACAAAAAGTTGAAACACGTCGTATCGATTTTCCCAACAATGCCTCCGTCTGTTACTGACACTAGGTTGGTGTGTACCAGAAGAAAAAAGGTCTAAATTTTCTGTTCTAGCGTATTACCTTGCTTAGATCCTTTGGTCGGATACACTGCCGAAACGTTTGCGCATAGGACACAGGGTTGGCTGTAGCACTGTAAACCTGGAATCAATGTTCTCAGTGGCACAGGATTATTAATAAGAAAAGTTTTTGAGAAATTTCCCATGAAGAAGAGTTTCTGCTACGAAGCTCGAACTCATTTAATAAAAGCACCATTTTACTGGCTATAAATTACTATTTCTTCTAATAGATGTGATAAATTATAACAACATCCATTTTTTAAAAAAGCCTAAGATATACTGCAAATGTTCTGAAAAGACAAAGAGGTAAAGAAGGTGCGGGAAATACTGTGGCTATTCAATGGTGCCCTGGCATATGTGTAAGTCCTTAAATAATAAGAATAAAATTATAAGTAAGACAACATAATAATCATTTGCAGCACTGATATTACGACTCTCAAAAATAGCCTAGTAAAAGCTGAAATTGCTACGTAGATTGAGTGGACTACTCATCACCTGTTAGTAATCGTTTTTTCCACTCGTTCCATGGTATATGCAGCATTGAGTAACATATTTTAAATTCTGATAAATACGTTATTCCTGTGATTGCCTTTTCATTATAATGATTAAGTGCAAGTTCTAACTTCTGTTTTCCAAAGTGGCTTCGGATGAGGCAGCAAATAAATCAACAAATAAAACGGGAAGTCGGCAGGCGGATCATGCAGTTCCAGCACCCTCACTTCCAACATCTGCCCTTCCCTGAAAATTACAGGCTGAAAACTACCAGCAAGAAATATCACATTGAAATATTTTTGATCTACGAATGAGTAAGGCAAAGCGTGCAATTACTAAAGCACACCTGGACTCGACTTGGCTAGCCTCGGCTCGTCTCGGTTCACCTCCGTCAGCCTCGGCAGCTGCACGAATTGCCGATTTATTGCAAATGTGTAGTGGATGAGCAGGAGGGGAACAGGAAAGGAAAGGAGAGGCACGGGGAGGGGCGAGGGGAGAATGGGAGAAGAGGCGGGATAGGGAAGACGGGGGGAGGGAGGGGCAGTGGAAACGTATGGGAAGGAGGGAGATGGAGGAAGTAGACGGAGGGGTAGAAGGATGAGTGGGGGAGGGAGCTACCATGTGAGAACGGTGACCGCGAAGTCGGAGGTACTGGGGTAGGGGTGGTTGGGCGAGTTGAGTGGGGACGTGGTGCGGCCCACGTAGGGGAGATGAGGCGATGAACAGATGGAAGAAGGGTCCGCGTGCTGGTTTTGCCGCGGATGCGCGGTGTATGGAAAGTGTTCGGGAGGGAATACACTGCAGAGAGCATAGAAGGGGGTGAGGGAAAAAGAACTGGCAATGTATGAGCACACTTTTGGGTGCTGGATTCAAGACGCGGGAAGGGAGATGTGATAGGCGGGGGAAAGGATGGTATGTGCGGGTTTCGCGCGTAGAGGCTCGAGGTGGTGGGGACGGGTCGGGTGAATACACTGAATAGCTATGTGATATAGATCCTTTGGCAGTTGCCTAAGCCAATTAAGGGAGACGGAAAAGGGTTACAAATTAGGAGCATACATTTTGTATTGAATAGCAAGCAGAACAGTTGGATCGTCGTTGGCCGTATTTGAGAAAACTGAAGATGCGATACTTTCCGCCGATCGGCTTCGATGCAGTTCCTCACTGCTAACTGCTTCAGCTGAATTAAAAAATTTCAAATAAAACGGATAATTTCCCTTCGGTCTGTCCAGCTTGTATTACAGCACGGAGCTTTAGGCTATTCAATGCTTTTTCGTAATCGATGAATAAGAGGCACAGAAGGAGTGGGTTTTGAGCGTGAACAATCGTACTGTGATTGTTGCGTAATCCAGCTTGTATCCTCGGCTCGTAATTCCAGAATTGAAATGTATATACGAAAAAAAACGAAACTCACAAACCGACATGATCCCATCTTAAAAATTTTCG